AGGAATCTTGTTTCGGTGGGACAGCTTGGAGCAGAAGGCTATGTTTCGACACTCACAGGGGATTCATGAAGAATCTCCAACGATACGATGATTGTTGCTCAAGACAACAGACTAGGAACTCTCTACCTCACCTTATATGCGAGTGACACCCTCGCAATTTCAGCTAAAAAAGAGAGTACAAATCTGTGACACAACAGGCTAGGGCACATGAGCGAAAAGGGGATAAAGATTTTATATTCACAGGGAAAGCTAACCGGGATTGACTCCGTGGAAGTCGGGGTTTGTGAAGATTGCATCTTTGGGAGGCAAAAGAGGGTTAGTTTCCAGAAGGATGGAATGTCACCTAAGGTTCAGAAGCTAGAGTTGATTCATATAGATGTATGGGGTCCAGCCAGTGTGTCTTCTTTTGGCGGTTCGAGATACTATATCACCTTTATCGACGATCACTCAAGGAAGGTGTGGGTCTACTTTATGAAGCACAATTCAGAGGTGTTCGGGGTCTTCAAGAAGTGGAAGGCCATGGTGGAGAACGAGACAGATCTGAAGGTGAAGTGTCTGAGATCAGACAATTGTGGAGAATACGAACTGGAGGAGTTCAAAAGGTTCTGTGCTACAAATGGTATTCGATTAGAGAGGACTACTCCAGGGACGCCGCAACAGAACGGTATTGTAGAGAGGATGAACAGAACCCTGACGGAGCATGCCAGGAGCATGCGATTACATGCAGATCTGCCTAAGACATTTTGGGCGGATGCGGTGCATACGGCAGCTTACCTTATTAATCACGGGCCATCAATTCCATTGGATTTTAGGATTCCAGAGGAGGTTTGGAGTGGAAAGAAGATAAATCTCTCACACTTGTGGGTATTTGGTTGCGTGGCTTATGTTCATATCAGTGACCATGTCAGGAACAAGCTAGAAGCTAAGTCACATAAGTGCACATTCATTGGATACGACATTAATAAGTTCGGGTGTCGTCTTTGGGATGAGAAGAACAAGAAGATCATCAAAAGCAGGGACGTGATATTCAATGAGGAGGTGATGTACAAGAACAGAGAACATACCAAGGATAGCCAAAGCAGTGGGAGCAGCACTTCGGATGCAGGTGGATCCGAGTACATGGATTTAGAGGAACTTCCAGATAGGGGTGATGATGTTTGTACTGACCAAAGAACGGAGGAGGCTCCAGGTGTAGAAGAAACTACCCAGGGTGTGGAGCGTAGAAGGTCATCCAGGGTACCCAAACCAAATCCCAGATATCTTTCATCTCTTGATTACTTATTGTTGACAGATAGCGGTGAACCGGAGTGCTATGAGGAGGCTATGCAAGTGAGTGAATCTCTGCAGTGGAAGCATGCGATGCAGGAGGAGATGAATTCTCTACTCACTAACGAGACATGGGAGTTAGCCCAGCTACCTGCACAGAAGAAAGCCTTGCATAATAAATAGGTCTACCGGGTCAAGCAGGAGAGTGATGGAAGAAAAAGATTCAAGGCCAGATTAGTAGTGAAGGGATTTTAACAGCGGGAAGGAGTGGACTACACGGAGATATTTTTTCCTGTTGTGAAGCTCACAACCATCAGAGTGGTGTTGAGTTTGGTAGCTGCAGAAGACCTCTTTCTTGAGCACTTAGATGTGAAGACCGCCTTTCTTCATGGTGACTTGGATGAAGAAATCTATATGAAGCAGCCTATTGGCTTCATTGAAGAAGGAAAGGAAGAGATGGTGTGCAAACTCAAGAAGAGCTTATATGGTTTGAAATAGGCTCCGAGACAGTGGTACAAGAAGTTTGATAACTTCATGCAAAATAATGGCTACAGAAGATGCAATTCGGATCATTGCTGTTATTTCAAAAGGTTCGAGTCCAGCTTCATTATCTTGTTATTATATGTTGATGACATGTTGGTAGCAGGACCGTGTTTAGAAGATATAAACAGTTTGAAGAAACAGCTAGCAAAAGAGTTTGCAATGAAGGATCTGGGTGTAGCAAAACAGATTCTAGGGATGCGAATCAGTAGAGATGAAGCTGAAGGGACGTTGAGATTGAGCCAAGATGAATACATTGAGAAGGTACTTCAGAGGTTTAACATGCAGAATGCTAAAGTTGTTAGCACGTCCTTTGGAAGTCAGTTCAAGCTATTAAGGGTCAATCACCTAAGACAGATGCAGATAGAGAGCATATGAGCAGGGTGCCATATTCTTTGGTCATTGGGAGTCTCATGTACGTGATGGTTTGTACGAGGCATTGAAGAAAGGATTTTTTCCGGGGAGGAGAAGATACATGCGAAGAAGGAGAGAGTTTGGGTGAACTCGTTGATGGCACTTTGGTCTCAAAGTAGGAGATTGTTAGTCTAAAGTATAGACCCAAAGTTGAAGCCGAAGCTGGAATCAAAACGAGGGAGAAAATTTGAGAAAAACAGGAGGAGGCCTGCACGATCGACCGTGGTGGTCGACGGCGAACGTGCACAGAAGCTGACAAGAGGCTGGAGCTGAAGGCGGTCGACCGCGACGGTCGACCGCGCCAACCCTGTAGGGATTTTTGGTCTCGGGAATCAGTTCGGTCGACCGTGACGATCGACCGCGCCAACACTGTAATGTTTTCTGCTCTCGGGAAAGTGGTTCGGTCGACCGCCGCGATCGACCGCGATACCTGCGCGGTCGACCGCTACGCTGTCAAACAGTTTCCTAAATTGTTTTGGATTCTGTTTCTTTCAGGACTCTATATATACCTAAACGTTTTTAGGGCTTGGATACACATGAAAAAAGAGAGTTTTTGACAACAGAAAAAGAGAGAATCTCAGAGAGATAAAACCCTAGTTTGAGAGCTTGTATTTCTTCTTCAATTAATCGAAAGAATTGTGTGGTGTGGCTCCCGAGGACGTAGGCACGTTGCCGAACCTCGTTAAATCCGTGTGTTCGTCTCCGTGTGGTGTGGCTCCCGAGGACGTAGGCACGTTGCCGAACCTCGTTAAATCCGTGTGTTCGTCTCCTTTATTATTTCTGCAAGTTTTTGATCTTTATTTGAGGTGAATTTTCCTACTTTCCTACTTTCAACACAAGGTCCGGAAGGACAATGGTTCGATTTGATTGTTTCGAATCCCCAACAGTTTCAAGGGTTAGCGGAATAAGAGAGTTATAGGGGAGAAAAATGTTTAAATGAGTTTCAGTTTTTTCTAAGAGGCTGTGAGTGTAATGGGTTCATAGGGTTGGAACATGGAGTGCAAAAGGGTATAACTAGCAATGCGCCCAAAAATGGTAAAGATGACAGAATATCCCTTTATGTTTCTAACCAAAGGGAGTAGTTTCAATATACTTACGAGATGGGGGATTAATGCTAAAAGACGAAAGACTTTCTGGACCAATATCGAAAAATCCTTTTGTGTAGATCATGAAATAACCCAAACCTATCTACCAAAAAAGGGTAAATTTTACAAAGCCCCCTTTAAATTTGTCTGTTTGTGAGATAAACCCCTAAACTTTATATATGTCACGTAACCCCCTTAACTGTTGGTCTTCTCCCAAACCCTGCCTAAACATTTGACAAGTGTTGCAACGAACCTCCTACTAGTGCGAATTTTAAGAGGGGGTGGGGAATTTGGATAAACTTAATGGGATTAATGACATTTATAAAAAGTCTAAAGAAGTTGTCCCAAACACGGTCAAACTTAACGGGAGTTTTGTGAAATTTACCCTAGAAAAACCGCACCAGAATTATTCGAGTCCAAATCCTCTCGGAACCACCTATCGATGTAAAAGCAAAGATAGAATTGTAGACCCTAAGATTTTGTCTAAACTTTGAACTCTTTAATGATCCATGAGGGTCATCTAAGAAAAGAGGAGTAGGTTTTAAATAAGGGAGAGATACTTTTCCTCCTTTGCAACAAAGGGTAAACCTTGGATTAGTTGACTGTGCATGATCTTTCAAGCTCGTAATACCAAAAGCGGGCACCACAATGCTCACATTCATAGTTTCGATCATGAAAATCCAAGTACTCAAAAACATTGCCTACAAATTTGTATACAAGTTTCATTTTAGAAGAAAATAAGTGGATGAAAAAGAAGCTTAAAAGCTTGTTTAAATAAAAAGAAAAAGAAATAGGCAATGAACCTAGTTGACGAGGAACAGGGAAGCGATGATTGAAGACTTCACTTTCCATGCGTTAAAGTGAAGTCCGCTTGAGCAAATTTGCTGAACCACGTAAAATTTGTGTGATTTGCTTTTTGTGGCCATTGTAATAGTTTATTAGGTTCCCTCGACAAGTCAGTCCTAGAACTGATGAGAGGAAGAGCTGATATCCCACTTTGTTGAAATATTCAATTCAGATTCTTGTTTTCTTGGTGATACAGAAATTCTTATTGATCTTTCTCTCTTATTGTGTACCAGAAACTCTGCCGAAATTTCCGCTACGCACAACACCTAGCTAACGAGGAACAGGGATGCGATGATTGAAGACTTCACTTTCCATGCGAGAACAAACATTAGAATGTGGAATAGAAACAGATGAAGATGATTCACTTTGACTAGCAAGCTCATCTTGATAGTTAGCGGAAGGTATTAATATTCTCATTCGTTTTGATATACGTTTTTTTCGGACAACAGTGGAAGAAGCTTCAAATTGTTGAATAGCAGGATGTTGATCATTGGTAGCTGACAATTGATCATTCTGTGCCCCATGTTCAACAAATTTATTGACACATTGCGAGCTAGATGAAGAACCAACTAAAAGATCTTTTCATATTATTTAATTAAAACTTGCTATATCAATTGGTACAAATAAATAAATCATAAAGCTTGAACCGAATTGTAACGCATGAATAACTAATCCCAATAAAAAAATAGTAACAAAAATCCATAGGCCGTCTATTTAGGAGCAACGAATCATAAAGAAATACAACAGAATAAGAAAGTAGAAAATAATTAATGCATTGAATCATGAAAATAAGAAAGTAAATTTCTGAAAACAATGTGCCTAACCTGAAAGAAGGAAGGAGAAGATAGGTGCCTGCATAAAACAAAATTTATTCATAGGGATAAAATAAACAAAAAATTTTCATTCACGTACAAATGCGCGCGCTAAATTTCCCACCTCCACTATAAATAAAGCAATAAATATCCAATCACAAGGACTAGCTCTTATCTTCTCTCCTACACATTAGAAATTATCTTTGCTCAAACCGTCCTCATAAATGAAATACAAAAGCCAAGTGATTAATTGTGAGGACATTAAACTCGAGTGGTGACGGATGCTAGACTTTCCACATATCTGAGCACGTGGAAGCATGTTTCGTCGTCAAAGGAGCAATAGCTGTTGGGTGCCTTGTAATACTTCAAATCCTTCAATACTATTTTCGAATCACAAAAGTCCAACCGATGATGGGAGTCATATACATGAAGCAAAATCTTTCCCTCCCTAACTCCAATCAGTTCACCAAACTTGTGCACGCAATCAAAATCGATGCTGTAAGTATGAACCCAAGAATCATCCTCCTTATGCACCCATATATCAAGTTTTGAATTTTTAGACTCTCGAACAAAGCATAGTTCTCCTTCCAATTCCGATATATCCAATTGTCTGTCATCACACACATCCAAACTAGAGAAACAAGATGGACGATCTATCACTTTGAACTTGTTGTCTTTAAGATCAAAAGATACTACACCTGTTGGAGGGAACTTATGCAAGCCATTATCCACCCTGAAGTAGATCACTCCGTCGATGGAGACTGGGGCAATCCATGCTAGGATCGGGTAAGGTGGATCCTCACCGAGAATTCTCCAAGACGTATCTTTTCCTAAATCGAAAACTTCCAAGCCCAAGCTATATGTCTTGTTTTTGAAATCATGCCATCGATAGAAATAGCGGGCAACTCTGTAGCATTTGTTACGGGCATCATATCCAAACCCTGCCCTTTCTTCAGGGAAACATCTATAGTAAGGATGGGTAGGCATGTGGTTACTGCCCTCTGGTAATGTTATAAACTCTCCAATACTTGGATTGCATACATAAAGACTGTCGAGTGTGCTCAGCAATAAAAGACCGTCGACTTGTTGAAGGCATAGAAAACATTCTGGTACCTCTGAGAATACTTTTTGGAACATCAGATGTGCCTGCAGCTGCGTCGGAGAGTAGTTGTAGAAGCCAATTTCGCATAGGTCAATTGAGTAAGGTATGATCACAAGTTGAGGTTTCTTTCTCGAATAATGCAAGTGTTTCCGGATGAAATAGGGGTCAGATATTATGTTATACCACACCTTGCAAACGCATTTAAACCTCAAAAGGCTTCTCACCGGAAGCCAAGACAGTATTTCAATAAGACATTCAGTGATGGATATCATTGCCACAGCGTCCTTCGCAAGATATCGAAATTTCTGTATGTACCAGAAGGGGGAAAGAGAATAAATTATACAGCTAGGAGAAGAAAAGATAATATAAGCTTGTAAGTTTCGTTATATATAGCAATATATAACAACGAATGAATAAAAATGTTAACAGAAGAAAACCAGCGGAAATAGGAAATACTGATTCTACCATGAGACAAGTTGATGGTGCCAGAAATCTCCTACCTGTGGATTATAATTATTGCAAGAGTTATTTTAGAGAACCCTCCTCAACTATAGGGAGTGTGGTGTGTCTCAGAAACCCCCAACATAATGAGGGGCCTCCAAAAGCTCCTCGCGCACCCCCCAATAAAAAAAACCAAATTTCAGGATATTGCAAATAACCTCCATCAACTTTGAAAATTTAAGAAAACCCCATGAACCTTACTCATTTAACCCTCTTAACTATGGTGTCTTAGATAACCCTGCTTAACTATTTTAATTTGAGAGAGACCCCTCAAGTTTAAGCATATTGTAGATAAAACCCCTCAACTTCGAAAATTCAAGAAAATCTCCTGAACTTTTTCTCACTTGATCCACCAAAAACTAAAAACATCAGGTTTAACGTGTCACATGACAAGTAGGTGACTTTAAAAAATTATCCTGAATTTTGGATAAGATGGCTTTTTTAGGGCTGGCGTGGTGGGTGGTGGGGGGGGATGGGGAAAGGGTGGCATTGTAAATGTGATCAGGATCTTTTTTTTATTTGTTGGACGTTTCTTTCTAACTGAAATGGATTGATTTCCAAATGGATATTCCAATTGTTTTACATTTTAAAATAACATCAGGAGGAATTAGGTGAGAAAATTGTGAAAAATCAAGAGGGTTTTGTGACACACCCCATAGTTAATGGGGTTTTTCTCAATATTGAGGAGGGTTATCTATAATATGCCCAATCTTGAGGGGGTTTTCCTCAAATAAAAATAGTTGAGGTGAGTTTTCTAAGATATCTCCCATAGTCAAAGCGGCGGAGAGGGGCTAGGCCGTGGCCAAGGTGGGGGGGGCCGTCCTAAAATAAACCTTAAATAAAATTTCTACTTAGAAAAGCTATTTTGAAGGATATTGCATAAGAAATAATTTACGTGAATTTTCTTTTTGGAATTTGGGGCCAAGATCAATGTCTGCCTAAACCCTTGCCTCTTATCAATCCTACTCAAATTAGAAATTCTTATCAATTAAGAATCCTTAATCACTAATATGAATCGAGTGCTTTTGATTATTAGTCCTACTTAAATTATTATGATTTTCTAATAATAATAATATCTATAATGATGAAGTAACTCTAGTTTGATTAGAATTCTATCCACGAACATTTTGTTTTCTAATCAAGCAATGAACTAGACTTCTAGTGGATAAATTTTAATCATTTAAAAGCTCCTTAAAACTCTAACTAAGAAGTGGTCATGAATCCCTAATTTCTCTAAAATAGAAGTTTTGACATCGAGGCTCGTGATCATACAATGATTTGATTATTTAGCCGATCACATTCAATTAAGAGTTCTCAATTTATTTGAGGCTCGTGATCATACAATGATTTGATTATTTAGCCGATCACATTCAATTAAGAGTTCTCAATTTATTTATTACCATAAGAACTTTTAGCAAGATGTTATTTAGCCGATCACATTCAATTAAGAGTTCTCAATTTATTTATTACCATAAGAACTTTTAGCAAGATGTCTAATACATTATTATGAATCATGCCATCTTCCGTAATAAACATCACAGGCTATCTGGTGATTTGCGCAAAGTTCCAAATAAAAAAATGTTGACATAAACAGAAGAAAAATAATAATAATACAATTTAACATGCTTGCGCACACGTACCCACACCCTCCACATGCGCACATGGATGCACATAAACACACATATATACGATAAGGTCATATTACACAAAAGAGGAAACTTGGAAATTTTTAACTTTATCCCTATCTATGACAATATTCATTATAGAAGACCAAAAACTAACTGGATGATTTAGTTGTATACGTGTAAAAACATATATGAAATCTATTCCTCTATAACAATAGGAGGATCCAAAGATTCACCATTCACGCTACAGTAAATTACTGTTGCAGTATTGATTTAGCACAGGCGGGATACTGTAGCATTTTAAAAATGTTACCGACACTTTAAAACACTGTAGGATTAAAAAAAAGAATTATTGTAGCAGAATAAAAAATGGGGGCACACTAGTTATAATTAGATGATCTTTCTATCATATATGAAATAGCAATCACATGAGAAATCAGTTCTGTGTTCAGATGTTAATGCATTTTCTTTAATATTTCTTGTATTTTCAGATAGGTGATTGACATAGGAAGTGAAAGTTTTAAACATCAGTCGTCTCTACAGGTTCTTCTTAGAGATCACATTAAATAAATTTCTGCTTAAACGGGTGAATTTGTAGGTTCATAATGTCTTCAAAAGCTTGTTTGCTTCAAGTATTGATTAATGACAAGAGGCTAACCATGAAACTTAAAAGAGTAAATTAACTGAAACTGAATCTGTGCTTTAATCCATTGCCCTCAATGGTATAAGTATGCATTCCAGAAACTCCAATGTGCGCCTAAGGAGTAAAAGGCCTAAATGGGAAAAAATGTATTTTGATATCAATTGCTAGAATAACTATTGCAGAAACAAAGTTGTGAAACAATGAGTCTAGAAGTTAAAAGACAGTGTGAAGGGACTTACATGTCTTCTTTTCGCCGGTTTTTTTGTTTGGGTGGGTTGGGGGGGGGGGGACGGGGGTGGGGGGTTGGTTGTCGGCGATATTAATTATTACACCAGAAATAGCCACCCAAATCTTTATATTTTCAAGTTAGTCCTTGGTATCTTCAATATGAAATCAAGAACCTCCAATGTGCTCCTAAAGAGTAAATAACCCTAAATGGAATGATGTATTTGGATGTCAATGGCTAGAATATTGAAGAAAAGAAAATTGTGAAAGAATGCAGGCTTAGCCGTTTAAAGGCAGTGTGAAGAAACTTGCATGTTTTGTTCTTTGTTTTTTTCGGTTGTATGTTAGTACCCCAAATCTTTCATGATTAGAAATTAGCCCACGAATCTTCATATTTTGAAATTAATCCCTTGTATCTTTTAAGAATGTTGAAATTAGTTCTTCTATTACATTTATCATCCAAATAGCCAACCACGATCGAGTAAGTGATTATCCAGGTACAAGTAATTACCAGACTACATCAGGAAATAGTCTATGTAGGAGATGGCTTAAAACTCAAGGCAAGGGTTCGAAGCTTTCCAGAGAAACTAGCCGTCGGTTTCAAGGGTTAGCGGAATAAGAGAGTTATAGGGGAGAAAAATGTTTAAATGAGTTTCAGTTTTTTTTCTAACAGGCTGTGAGTGTAACGGGTTCATAGGGTTGGAACTTGGAGTGCAAAAGGGTATAACTAGCAATGCACCCGAAAATGGTAAAGATGCCAGAATATCCCTTTATGTTTCTAACCAAAGGGAGTAGTTTCAATACACTTAGGAGATGGGGGATTAATGCTAAAATATGAAAGACTTTCTGGACCAATATCGAAAAAGCCTTTTTATGTGTAGATCATGAAATACCCAAACCTATCTACCAAAAAGGGTAAATTTTACAAAGCCCCCTTTTAAATTTGTCTGTTTGTGAGATAAACCCCTAAACTTTATATATGTCACGTAACCCCCCTAACTGTTGGTCTTCTCCCAAACCCTGCCTAAACATTTGACAAGTGTTGCAACGAACCTCCTACTAGTGCGAATTTTAAGGGGGGTGTATTTGAATAAGCTTAAAATGGGATTAATGACATTTATAAAAAGACTAGGGAAGTTGTCTCAAACACAGTCAAAACTTAACAGGATTTTTGTGAAATTTACCCGAGAAAAACTGCACCAGAATTATTCGAGTCCAAATCCTCTCAGAACCGCCTACATGCGAGCGCACGTTTCTTATCCTTAAATGGGAAAAAAAAGGAGGGAAAAAGGGTCAGCTGCCCTCCCAACAAAAGGATAAGAACCAACCGCAAGCGTGTGGTTCTGAGGGATTTCTATTTGATTATTCATGTGAACATTGCAGATTGTTACAGATGCTAGTGTTACAGATCAGCCAAACCTTATAAAACATATTAAGTGATACGATTTCATTAATATAAAAGGGTTATTTGCACTTCGGTAGCCCAAGGTTTATAATATAAAAGGGTTATTCGCACTTCCGTAGCCCAAAGTTTACGCCATTTTAAACTTTGATACGCCAAAGTTTGTTTCCGACACTTTGATCACCAAAAGTTCACACTTTTTAAAACTTTGGCACCACCATTTTGTTAATGTCACTTAGATACCTCAAAGTTAGCACTAACGCATCCCAAATTTCTGTTTTTGACCATCAAAGTTAAGAAATTTGTACACTTTGGGGTATCCAAGTATTAAAAGTGTGTAAATTTTGGGTATTATAAAGTCAGAAAAAACTTGGGGGAATCAAAGTCAAAAAAGATGTAAACTTTGGGCTATCAAAGTGTGGCATAAAAATTTTGGAATAGCAAAGTTTAAAAAGATCTAAACTTTCGGGACATCAAAGTGCAAATAACCCATATTTGGAGAATCTCCGAATTGCTTAAAATCTATAGTAAATTAGGGCAAAAAATTAGGCTTTCGCAAAGTAAAGAAAGAGAAAGAGAAAAATAAAACCTGAGAGGGCGAACTCATGGATCCACCGACAGGGCCGAGCATCGGAGAATCAACAGCAACTGCTGCTTCGATCGACCGTCGCTGCTGAAAATCGCTGGAGGCGATGAGACGGACAGTCCTTCGAGGTATCGCACAAAACTCCCTGAACTTTGCTCCTCGTGACTTCATTCCTGAGGAGCCAGCCTTGACTGCTTCGATTGGGCTTTGTTTTGGGCTTCACTAAGCTTTTACCCTAAAAACATATACTTGTGTATTTTTAAAAACATGTACTCACGCATATTTAAATTGCACTTTTTGCAGCTCTATTGGACTCAAGTCGAGCCCAACTGATTCAATAATAATAAAAATTGCCATCCAAATCCTAGACAGGAGCTAATGGGCCACAAAAGACAAGCTCCACTGTTGCGCGCAGCGGAAATTTCGGCAGCACTTCGGCAGCACAACAAGAGAGTCAGGTCGCAATAAGAATTCCCGTCTCACCAAGGAAACAACAATCTGAAGCGAATATCTCAACAAAGTGAGATATCGGCTCTTCCTCTTATCAGTTCTAGGACTGACCTGTCGAGGGATCCTAAAAAGCTATTACAAATCACACAAAAGTAGTATAACCAATTTTTACGTGGTTCGGCAAATTGCCTACGTCCACGGGGAGAGGATGGGGAGATTTCACTATATGGAGGAGAAATACAACGGGTTACAACTCACAAAATCACTCAAATATAACCCTAACCAAAGCTCTCAACTCCCTCACAATATCTCCCTCTCAAAGTGCTCAAAACAATGCTAATTCTCTCCTATTCTCTCATTCAATTGTTCCATATATATAGAAATCCTAAAATCATAAACATACTAGGAATTCTAAACCAAAAGCCAAATCAAATTAGGAATCCTAATAACCTATTACCAAAATAGATTAGGAATCCTAAACCAAAATAGATTAGGAATCCAATAATTCTCCACCTCGGTGAAGTGTTCCCAACACTGAGCCGACACCAACATGAGCACTAATGTGTCGTCTCTCTAAACTCGGCTGCACCAATGTGGTTGCCTACGTAACCCCTCTCCCAAGGGATCAAGCCGCCCGTAGTTCATCCAAATGGCCGTCAACGGCCTCAACAATCACGAATGTGCAACAAGTTTCGACAATGATCAAACTTGTTGCTCGGAACCACCTTAGTAAGCATATTCGTCGGATTATCCTTTGTGTGGACTTTCACAATCTTCACATCGCCATCTTCAAGAACATCCCGAACGAAGTGATAACGGACGTTAATGTGCTTCGTCCTTGCATGAAAAACCTGATTCTTCGCCAAATAGATAGCACTCATGCTATCACAATGAATAGTGACGGACCTCTGCGATATACCAAGTTCCTCCAAAAGTCCTCGAAGCCAAATAGCCTCCTTCACAGCCTCCGTAATTGCCATATACTATGCCTCCGTCGTAGACAAAGCCACCGTGGTCTGTAAGGTGCATCTCCAACACACCGGCGCACGGGTCAATGTAAACACATACCCCGTCGTAGATCGGTGCTTATCCAAATCCCCGGCATAATCCGAATCAACATAGCCAATGCACAACTGCCCACCTGTAGTGTCCCGCTCATAAACCAAACCAACATTGAGCGTACCTCGAATGTACCTCAAAATCCATCTCACGGCGTCCCAATGACCCACTCCTGGATCGTGCATGTATCTCGACACCATGCTCACTGCCTGTGACAAATCCGGCCTCGTACATACCATCGCGTACATCAAGCTCCCAACCGCACTCGCATATGGAGTCTTCGACATCAACTCTCTACATCGACATAAAGTAACAAATAGATGTACGCACCTCCTTTCAACTTGCGAAAATATACGCAAGGATCAAACTGGCTCCGAGTGTACGAATGACCAAGCATAAAACCATCAAATCGCCTATACCACTGTCGAGGAGACTGCTTCAAACCGTATAGCGATTTCTTCAGTTTGCAAACTAATTTTTTCTTCCCTGCAGCTCGGAATCCCAATGGCTGAGTCATATATATTTCTTCATCAAGATCACCATGAAGAAATGCTGTCTTCACATCCAACTGATCTAACTCCAATCCATACTGTGCCACCAAAGCTAGCAAAATCCGAATCGAAGAGTGCTTCACCACCGGAGAGAAAACCTCATTATAGACAATACCTTCCTCCTGTGCATAGCCCTTCGCAACCAACCTAGCCTTGAACCTCACTGGAGTGCCCTCAATGCCCTCCTTCTTTGTGTATACCCATTTGCAACCAATGGCCTTCCGCCCCTTTGGAAGCTCAACAAGCTCCCATGTATCGTTCTTATAAAGAGACTTCATCTCCTCCTGCATAGCCACCTGCCACGAATCAGCCTCCGAACTCTGTTCGGCCTCTCTGAATGTAGTAGGCACCATTTCATCGATACTCTCCACCGGAAGTGCATACGCAACTGTGTCGGCATACCGTACTGGCATCTGTATGTTTCTCCTCTGTCTCCGAACCGCAATAGAATCCTGAATCTGAGCCGCCGGTTCCTGATCATGCACATTTGTACTCGTATCCTCCGTGTCACCGTCGTGCTCGCCTGGCGTCACCTCAGTCGGCACCTGCATGGATACTGTACCATCTGGACAATGTGGAGTTGCATCGATCTCCACCACCTGCGATTTCTCCTCTATCGGGTCATTCTCCACCTGATGAGAGCTGGGAAGCTTCAAGATAGAAGCTTCATCAAACGTGACGTCCCTACTCAGCACAATCTTCTTATCAACTGGATCCCAAAGCTTGTATCCCTTGACACCACGCTTGAATCCTACAAATATTGCCTTCCTAGCTCGAGGTTCCAACTTATCAGTTCTTACATGATAAAATGCAGGGCACCCGAATACCTTGAGCTGGTCATAGTCGTGTGCTGGCTCTCCCGACCACTTCTTCATTGGGGTCTTCCCCTCAATCGCAGATGAAGGCAGCCTATTAATGAGGTTGCTCGCATATGTAAGTGCCTCAGCCCAAAAGATCTTCTCCAAACCACTCTGCGATAATAAGCATCGGATCTTCTCCAGTAAAGACCGATTCAATCTCTCTGCCACCCCATTTTGCTGCGGTGTATGACTAACTGTGAAGTGTCTCTCTATGCCCTTGTCTCGACATAGCTGCTGAAAGGGGTCAGAAGTAGCAACGTCTTGATCTTTCTTCCAGTCTGCAGTTTCAATCTCTTCTTCTACTCCACGAATATATCTAGGACTTCACTCTTCTTTGTCATGGTGTACACCTAACATTGCCTAGAATAGTCATCAACGAACGTGACGAACCAATGTCGACCACCAAGTGATGTAGTCTTGGTGGGACCCCAAACGTCTGTGTGCACGTAGTCCAGGATGCCCCTCGTCTGATGAATGGCAGTCCCGAACTTCACCTTCGTCTTCTTGCCAAGAACATAGTGCTCACAGAAGTCAATCTTCCCACTCTTGGCTCCCTTCAATAGCCCCTGCTTGCACAATGCCTGCAGTGACTTTTCACCTGTGTGCCCCAACCTATAGTGCCAAAGTCTGCTCATGTCCGCTTCTGAAATAGCCGAAGCAACCTGGCCAATCTCGGTGCTTCCTTTCAGATAATACAAATTCCGATTGCGGACTCCCTTCATCACCACCAATGATCCCTTAGTAACATTCGCTACAGCGTTTTCGAAAGTCACCTTGAATCCCTTCGCCTCCAAAGCTCCAACTGAGATAAGATTTTTCTTCAGTTGAGGAACAAATCTCACCTCCTTCAACTCACGGACTACTCCATCGTGCATCCTAATCCGTACGGTACCTATCCCACAAACACCACAGGATTGATCATTTCCCATGACAACAACACCCCCGTCGACTTTCTCAAAAGATGCAAACCAGTCTCGCCTAGGGGTCACATGAAAGGTAGCGCCGGAATCAAGCATCCAATCTGATGCATCCACATGGTTCACCTCCGGAGTAATCAGTAGAGAAAAGCACGAATCATCGGAATCATCGCCTTTCGCAATGTTCACCTCATTGGCCTTCGGGCCCTTTTTCTTGCCATTCTCTTTCTCCTTGAGCTTCAGGCAGTCTCTCTTCCAATGTCCCTGCTCCTTGCAGAATGCACATTGGTTCTTTGTTAATTGGTGGCGGCCTCTAGACTTTGACCTCCCTCTGTTACCACCTTTCGGATATGGGCTTCTACCTCTTGTCGACAAGGCCTCTCCTGAAGTACTAGCGCGGGAAGTCTCCTTGTCCTTCCTCCTCAAATCATAGTTGGTCAAAGCTATGGGCTTCTACCTCTTGTCGACAAGGCCTCTCCTGAAGTACTAGCGCGGGAAGTCTCCTTATCCTTCCTCCTCAAATCGTAGTTCGTCAAAGCGTTAGTCACTTCACTATAGCTGATAGAAGATCTCCCGTTCAACAAAGTGAGCACGAAGGTATCATACTCCTCATCCGGTAAGGAGCCCAACAAAATAATCGCCTTGTACTCATCCGATATCTTCTCATCAACATTCGCCAAGTCCGACAATAACTTAGTGTAGTTGTTCACATGAGCCGCAAGCGAGGTGCCTCTGGACATCTGAAATCTGAAGAGTCTTCGCAGCAAGTGCAACCTGTTCTCAACACTCTTCGTGAGATACTTATTGTTGAGAATTTCCCACATCTTCATTGCAGACATCACCCCAATCACATCATATTTCAGCTCCTGTTCCAAACAGGACCTGATCACCCCACAAGCGTTCCTATTCATTTTCTCCCATACCGCCTCATCATATTTAGGTGGCCTCTCGTGGACCACCCACAAGCGTTCCTATTCATCTTCTCCCATACCACCTCTTCATATTTAGGTGGCCTCTCGTGGACCATGATGGTCTCTTCCAAATTCTGAGCATTGAGCGCATCCTGTACGTCGCTCATCCACAAACCAAAGTTGATTTTTCCATCATACTTCACCACACTAATCTTAGTGTTCTGAAAACCAACTTGTATTGTACTCGCCATCGATTTGCTGCTTTCACCTTCTTCTCCCATTGCGAACTAACTCCAAATTATAGAGAAAGAACAAATTTGATAGAAATCTCCTATCCACATGAGGAAAACGAAATCTCCAATGGCAACTCCTAATGCTATCTCCACCGAAGCCGAGAACTCCAAGAACTAAGCTTCACACAAGAATCTTCCTCCACCAAAAAACCCTAGATCTGAAATCTGGGCTCTGATACCACTTGTTGCGCGCAGCGGAAATT